AGAGGAACCTGGTGGCCTACCATCCATGAGGTCACACAGAGTTGGACATGATTGAAGCGACTTAGCGCACATACATGTATTTATAAAAGCAGCAGTTCTTGAAAGTATCCATGTGTTGAAAATGGATACTTAGGCAAAATAATGCTTCTTGACAACTATAGTGGTTGATCTTGATGAATCCAGTCTAGATTTACATATTAAGGTTCTTCTACCTAATGGGCACGTGGCATGACTATGCTCTGATGCTACCAGGTAAAAGTCAAAGTCTTCTCTTTTCCTGAGTTCTCCTATTGGTATATCATGGTCAATTTTTTTTTTTTTTTTTTGCAATCCTAAAGTCCACCAACTGACTCTAAGCTCCTTCTTTTGTTGACATTTTGCTTATTTGAAAAAGTAACATAAGTCCTACCATTTATGATCCCACCAGCCCATATGTCTTTTGGAACATCTGCACAAAACAGCATTTTAAAAAAAGAAGACTACTCCTCCATAGTACTTGGTCCATCACATACTTTAGAGACTGCCTGACATAACAAAGATGTAAGATTTGTCCACCTACTCAGCCACCTGTGATCTCCTCCCTAAACACTTTGCAGGAAGCAGTGAAGCAGTCTGACAGGTGGCCACAATTTTGGTTCCCTGGCTGGCTAACATAGGACGATATGTCCATACTGATGAGGCAAGATCTGAAAAAGGATGAGCTGATGAGTAGGCTGTAATAGTCACAACAGAACTATTTCTCAAGTAATGTTCTTAATGTTTATGCCAAATTTTTATCTTCTTTTCATTTGATATTTTTATGCCTAGATTTTTAGATCTGATATTTATATTTATAATAATCAAATAACTTATTGTTCACATTTCAGTTGAGATTGAGGAGGCCAAGTCTACATTAGGTAGCAGGAGTGACTCATTCCAGAGTATGCAACTCTTATTTTCCATGAGGCTGTGGCTAAAATTATTAACCTGTTTTAGATTTCAGACTCGCTAAGTATATAACTGATATTATGTCTATAAAAATAAGGTAACTAATATTTACACAAATCAAGTAAGATGCTGCAGATCAAAACCTTATTTTACAGTGCCTGGCACATAGTGAGGCATTCAATGAATTTATCAATAATAATATTAATAGTAGTAATGATAATAGTAACGTCTTTCGCAGTTAGAGGATTGAGGTAATTAAGTTTAATTGTCACTAAGTGAATCTGTGTGTGACTAGGAAGTAAAATTCAATTTGTAGAGAGTATTTTTAATAACTGCTAAGGTATTTTATTCTTTATAATTTTATATGCTGTTTTAAACTTATAAACTCATGCTCTCTTGAGGAAGAATTTAAGGAGGATTATCATAAGAACAAGATGTTTTGTATATAGTGGGGAAGTCAGAACTAAGAAATAGAAAAGGACAGTATATCCAGCACAGGATCCTTCACTGTTGCTCTGTTGAACATAAGATTGGTTTAAAATTTGATGCAGCTAGGACAGAAGGGTCATTTCATTCAGGCCTCATAAACATGAAAGGCCTTGAATTTAGAATAGTAGCATTATCTACTAATTCATGTATGTCTGAAGACCCAGAAATACTCTGAGGCCAACATCTCCATAATGGAAGTTTAGTTCTGTGTCTTTTTGCTGAACCCATTGTCTTAAATATTCTAATTAATTAATTTTTATAAATCCTGCAAGTATCTTGTATAGCCTAATTAAATTTTATTGAATCTGTGTATATGCCCAAGACAAATCAATAACTTTTAAAATATTAAGCATTTTAGGTATATAACAATTTTTATAACTCTGTTTTATTGTTTCTTTTTTTTTCTTTAATATAAATGGGGCCTCCAAAAGTGGAAATGGGCCAGGCTTCTCCTGACCTTTGGGATTGCTTAGCCAAAAGATTCAAATAGGATTTTATCAGTATTTAATGGGAGAGGAGGAAGCAGGAAACCAGAGAAATTGTGGAGTAGCCTTGAAGGCTTGTTAACAATTGTTGCAGAAATGGAGATGGTTAGCTCTACTCTGTATGAAATAAGAGTCAGGCTCCTGCAGAATGTAGCAGTAAATACTGCATCCCTCACCAAAAATTATTGAAAACCCTTTCCCTGGAGTTTTAAGTCATTAAGCCAAACATTTAACCTTCTGTCTCAATGTGCCTAGTTGATATATACTGCTAAGACACAAAATATATAAAAAGTGTAAAAATATCAAAGTGATAGATTTGCAGTTGAGATGTATGAATAACTTGAGTTATTTCTATTTGCAACACAGACAAACAGCCCATTACCTGATCTTGAGTATGACCAGATAGGATGCATAAATAGCAGCAAAATTTATGTTAATTTTAGAATATGTAAATTCTCTTTATGAATGCATTGCACTGAATGTGAAATGTGTGCTCCACCACTACAGACCTTTAAGAAAAAAGAGCAACAGAAAACCCATCTTTTATATGATGGACATAAAATACAAATTAAAACTCAAACAGAGTAGGGGAAAAAGAAAATTGTTAGATGCTGAAAATGAATCTGTTTATTCAAATATATTTGTCCTTTAGCACTGATAAATTTTGTATCTGCATCAAAGAACAGAAAATATTTTTATTATTTTGCTTTGGGTTAATACAGCCATATGTAGGTCTCAAACAAATTTATTACTAGAAATTGCATTCAAATTGATTCCAGTATATTGATTGAAGTTACAGAAAAAGAGATATTACTTAACACTTGAATTGTTTATTGCATTGTTGTCCTAATCTCAGGCAAGGTCATTTTAGTAATCTAGAAGTAAAACTCTTATTTATAAAGCCTTAATTTTAATACATGCTTATTGCAAGAACTTTTCTAGTTTAGAAATTATACACATATATATTATATATACATATTTGTGGTATGTGTCTATAGATCCTGACTATTAAAGTATGGGCAATTGGTATATTTCTACTTAAACAAAGGTGACATAATCAAATGTCTTACAATAGGTGGAGGCAGAAGCATACCTTTTTATAACAAATGCTCAGTTAATTACTCCTTGAATCAGTGCATGCATGGAGTGAAGGATTAGAAAACTGAAGAGGAATGGCAGTAGTCCACATATGAATGGATAGGTGCTCTATGTAAAAGCACTATTATGGGTAGCAAAAAAGTAAAGCGTAGTAGTTACCCAGGTTGTACTGAAACTGTGGATTCTGCCTCACTATTACTATAAAAATACTTCCCTGGTTCAGTTCAGTCCAGTCTCTCAGTCATGTCCTACTCTTTGCGACCCCATGGACTGCAGCCCTCCAGGCTTCCCTGTCCATCACCAACTCCCAGAGCTTGCTCAAACTCATGTCCATTGAGTCAGTGATGCCATCCAAACACCTCATCCTCAGTCATCCCTTTCTCCTCCCCCTTCAACCCTTCCCCAAATCAGGGTCTTTTTCAATGAGTCAGTTCTTCACATCAGGTGGTCAAAGTATTGGAGCTTCAGCATCAGTCCTTCCAATGAATATTCAGGACTGATTTCCTTTAGGATGAACTGGTTGGATCTCCTTGCAGTCCAAGGGACTCTCAAGAGTCTTCTCCAACACCACAGTCCAAAAGCATCAATTCTTCAGCTTTCTTTATAGTCCAGCTCTCACATCCATGCATGACTACTGGAAAAACTGTAGCTTTGACTAGACGGACCTTTGTTGGCAAAGTAATGTCTCTGCTTTTTAGTGTGTTGTCTAGGTTGGTCATAATTTTTCTTCCAAAGAGCAAGTGTCTTTTAATTTCATGGCTGCAGTCACCATCTGCAGTGATTTTGGAGCCCCCAAAATAAAGTCTGTCACTGTTTCCCTCGTTTCCCCATCTATTTTCCATAAGTGATGGGATCAGATGCCACAATCTTAGTTTTCTGAACACTGAGTTTTAACCCAACTTTTTCACTCTCCTCTTTCACTTTCATCATGAGGCTTTTTAGCGCTTCACTTTCTGCCATAAGCATGGTGTCATCTGCATATCTGAGATTATTGATATTTCTCCCGGCAATCTTGATTCCAGCTTGTGCTTCCTCCAGCCCAGCCTTTCTCATGATGTACTCTGCATATAAGTTAAATAAGCAGGGTGACAATATACAGCCTCGATGTACTCCTTTCTTGATTTGGAAAGTGGTAAAGAATCCACCTTCCAATGCAGTTTCGATCCCTGGTGGGGGAACTAAGATCCCACGTGCCCTGGAGCGCTAAGCCCACAGGCCATAACTAGAGAAGACTGTGTGCCTCAACAAAGACCCAGCACAGCCAAGAAAAAAGAAAAAACCAAAATAACCAAATCCCCAAAACATAAAGACAAACACTGTAATAGTGTGTAATAGTGGTTAATTTCAACTTCCTAAATAATTGCCAGCACTTTATTTTCTTTTTTTTTCTTTTATATTTCACTACGTAAAATTTATTTGCTTTTTTTAATAAAAAATGTATAACACCAGCACCTACTCTTCAATCAGTTAATTTATGAAACCATTCTGTTTTGTAGAATACACATTGGCATTGAAACAGTTTAAGGAAATGTAATAGCTATCTACAAAAAAGTTAATTTTGATTTTATTCCCCCCACTTTTTTATGAGTCTGCACACATAAATGAAACAGTTTATGAGTCTGCACACATAAAACAAAAATTTAAATTTTCAAACATTTTATATTCATTAATGAAAAAGAAGTACACTGCTTTCTTGCTATGGTCTTTATAAAGGACTTAAAAATTTCAAGTTAAAAAAAAGGTACTAGGATAACTGCTTATCTTACAACAGCATTTTTACATAGAACGATTTAATCGGCATGCAACTTCTCTATGTTGTCACATACCTGTAATTTAGGGAAAATTACACCCATTTTACAGAAAAAAATCCCAATACATATACTGCAATAAGCTCAAAGCAATGTTAAAAAGACCAGTGTGAACGGCACACAAAAAATTGTTTCTTTATAAATTATTAACTGGAATTCCTGGTCATGAAGTAGGCACGGGGAGATCTAGTCCTCAGGGCTTTGCTCTCTGGAAGAACACCTTTAAGTAGTTTTTAAAAACTTTAGCATCAGGTTGCTGAAGCGCTTGACAAAACTCCTGAATTATCTCTGGAGCTACTTGCAAGGAAGGCAGGTATTCCTGTTGAAGATACTGAACACATTCTGGGCCCCGTTTGAGATGAATTGTTTTCAGTGTCACCGCACACTCAGATAAAGCCAATACTGTTTGTGCATCTGCCAGGTCAAAGGTTTGTTTTAAAGGTGCTAGGAAACATGCGGGGACAATGTGCTTATAAACAAAATCAGCAAATCCCACTGGTCCATCTTTACCTCCCCAGAGTTCTACCAACTTGGAAAGGATAATAAAACATGTTTTCTGAGCAATGGGATCTGGATATTCGACTGCTCCTTGAATAACAGGAACCAGCACTTGTTCTACATTCTCTGCACCTTGATTTGCTATGACTTCACTCATTCCGCTGCCCGTGACGGTTTGCAGGAAAGCAAAGTAACTCCTCCGCAACATCTGCTTCTCTAAAGCAGCAGACTGGTCATTTTCTTCTGCTGGTCGGAGCAAAACTTCAAAAATTGCATGAAGAAGAGGCATGAACATCTGTTGTAAAAATGGGGATACCTGTATCTTAAATTTGGCTGTGATCTGGTTGATGAGAGGGATGAATTCCTGGAGGTCCTTTGCTTCACAGTCTTTGAGCATGTGTTCTGAAGCGGATGGAATGAAGGGAAGGACTTCTTCCTCCAGGCAAATAATCATGCGATGAAGGAAAGTGCGGACTCCACTTCTGAGAACATCCTTTTGTAAGGGACAGCTGAGAGCTGGCAAGAATGTCTGTAAACAGTCCAGGTAAACTTCCGAGCAGCCACACTGCTTCACGGTCTGCTTGTTGCTGAAAGCTTTGCTGGTTCGACTAGCAAATCCAACAGCATGGTTGAGACAGTCTGCTAGAGATGCCTGCCTTTCTTCGTCCTGTGCCAGCATCAATTTTTCTAACAGAATTTTAAACTTCTCCATGAGTGGAGTCAACAGATTCCTCATTAATGCCTGCTTCCGCTCTGCTGGATACTCACTATTAACAATTAGCACTCCAGCTGTCTCATAGATAAATAATTGATTGTCGCTGCTCAACAAGGACTGGTAACCATTCTCAGGTGGAGAAAGCTCTAATAAATCTTGTATTCTATTCAGAATATCCTCAATGAAAGGATTCATTTGTTTGTTGAGAGATTTAACAAATCTGGAGAATAGGTAAGCGGTTCTGCTCTGGACTTTAGCACTAGGGTGCCACAGACCCCTGTGATCTAAGAAAGCCATTAGTACACATGGAATGTGCTGAGGTTCAACTGTGAAAAACTTTTCGTATCTAACAACCGTTTCGAAGAACTCCAATGTCACAGATGTGTGTTGATAGGAACTAACTCCTGATGTCACCAGAGTTCGCATCATATCCTGCAAAGCACTAGCTTTTGAAACATCCCCTGAGAAGTGAGCACCATGAGATACTGGAAGAGCTTCTGCCAACATATACAGCAATCTTATTGCCACTTCAGCTTCCATAAACCGTGTAGTCTGCCAGTTCTGCAGTGTAGAACTGAACACTCTGCGAACAGAAGCCAGCAGTAACTCTGGTGAAACTTGAGCAAGCCTGTCCAACAATAACTTCAGTTGTTTTCTATATTCTACAAACATGGCTTCGTCTTCACCCTCATTTTCAAAGTTATATTCTTCATCGTAAGTTAATTTTTTCATAACGGCCAACATGATTGCCTCTACATTAGCTTTTTGTTGATCTGAAAGCACTGTAAGCTGTTTCAAAATATGAAGATAATCGTAACAAAATCCAATAATGTTAGAAGAGATGTCATCATCCTCATGAATTAGGAGCTGCAACATCAGCGCCACCTTTGTTTCAGTACCTTGCAGTGCCTCCTGAGCATTTTTGATATCCCCATTTTTAATTAATTTAGTCCAGCTAACTATCAATGACTGTCCCATTCCATTGACCAATTTAGAAAATCTGGCCAGGAAGTCAACATCTTCTTCCCGGTCAATGCTGAAAAACCCAGCAGACTGTAACACTTGACACAAAGATTCTACCAGTTTCATTTTATCAACAGGATCCATTCCTTTATTTACAATTTCAAATAAACAATCAGTTCTTCCCGTAGAACTTCTATTGACATATGACCTAGCAGCATATTTATAAACGTATCATTGGCTATAAGGGATAAGTCTATCCAAGAGACATAAGCCCCAACTACTTCAAGGCACTGGCATGTCACTTCTGAATTGGTATACTGATAATTTTGTAGGATTTGGTACCATGATTCCACCAAGTTTGGAATGCACTGTTCCCTCATAGTATCCTTTATGAGAGTATTCCTACGAGCCTCCTCTGAGGTGTGAACCACATCACGATCCACCAACTCTGAATCAATAGCCATGAGAATTCGGAGGTACAGATCTACTCCCCTTGGATTTAGGTCCACTACTGAGAGAATGTCAAAAAAAAATTTGGGCCATTTAGTGAGATATTATGTAACAAAAAGCAAGGCGAAGACTTGGGCAGCTTTCTTTCATATGAAGGTCTTCTCTGGTTGGGGATTGAGCATCTGAGCTTGAAGCCAAGATACAAGCGTCTCTCTAATTAGTTGTTGTTGAACAGTGGTTAGTTCTGAATATTTGTATTTAACTTGATGTTCCAGTACTTGGAAGCAGAAAAACTTAATATGATCATCACTGTACGTCCTCTGAGCCAGAGCTTCTGCACACACCTGCCAGGCATCTGGGGAAATCTTTAACTGTTCAAAATAGGCCAGGGCCCTTTGTCTGAAAGTCTGAATCAGCATTTGGATTTAGACCTAAGAGAGCCTGTTCATCCATTCCTGCTGCTATACTTGGAGTTTTCTGATTACAATAGGCGTCCCCTCTAATCCCACAGAAGAATCCACAAACATCTTCCCTATCACTCCATCCCGCCTGCCCGCCTGCACTCCCGAGGGCCCGTCAGTGGAGCCGCGCCGCAAGCAGGGAGCGAGAAGAGCGGCCCTCGTCCTCGTCGTCCTCCGCCACGGCCGCGGCGCTAACGCTGGAGACGGAGCTGGCCGGGGCCACGAGCCTCTCGCCGCTCTGCGTTTCCTGGCGCCTTCTCCTCCGTGGCGCCGGGCAGGAAAGCTAGCAAGCTGGCGGGCGGGGTTGGCGCCCCAGGAAGGTTAAGAGCGTGAGGGCCGGCTAAGGCCGCCACGGCCGTCGCCAGCACTTTATTTTCTAAAAAAAAAAAAATGCATTGGGTAAAGTTATGATTAGTCTCTGAAACAGTTTTATCTGTTAGTAAGTAAAGAAAGTGATGACATCTTAGAGGGCACATGGATGTATTTGAATTCTGCCTCCATTATTACAATTGTGAATTCTGATCCCAGATCTCCCCACCTTTAAAAGGACCATAGTAATGTTCAGTCTAGATTAATTTTGAGTCAGTTAAACAAAACAGTGCTTTTTTCCCCCCTAGTTCATAGCATGAAATATAATATTGAAGTAAATGTTAATTATTTTTCTTCCTAAATCAGAGAGAGAAAACCTGAGTTCTATGAGCAACAGAAACCTTAGGAAAAGTGAAAGTTGACCGTATCATTTGAGATTCTATTGTGGACATATTTGTACATATATCATACATTTTAGTAGAGTCAATAAAAATATGCAAATGTCAGTATAATTTCATGGTGTCACTAAAATAATTGCTTCTTTTTTTCTCCATCTTTGCTCTGTTTTATTTTGACAGATTGACCCAGTCAGTGCATACCTGTGGGCTTAGCTTAGAGCCAGTTCTATCTCTGTGTGTCTGAATCATTGGATTCCTCTGTTGCATTGCAGTTTTCCGTTTTATTCTCCAAGTGGCTTATACTTTGACTTTTATTAATCCTAATAACTGAGTTTTCCATAACCTATTTTAAGTCTTCAAGTTACTGATCATCAGTTCACTTGGTCTCTACTCATATTTAGATATTAATTCAGTCTTGTTTCTCTTTCTTATCCAACATGGTTTTCTGCTGTTTATCTAACTTGATTTTTTCTTTGCAGATTGGCACTCTTTTCTCTTGTCACCAGAATAATAGCACCTTGAACTCTTTGCCAAACATTCTTGGCATGATTTGAGTTTGTGTGGACCTAACATCTCATGTGTTGTTATTCAGTCACCAAGTCAGGTCAGACTGTTTGTGACCCCATGGACTGCAGCACTCCAGGCTTCCCTGCCCTTCACTATCTCCCTGAGTTTGCTGAAACTCATGTCCATTGAGTCGGTGATGCCATTCAAGGATCTCATCCTCTGTCGTCCCTTCTCTTCCCACCCTTAACCTTTCCCAGAATCAGGGCTCATCTTTTCCAGTAAGTGTTTGTTGTAATACAGTATGAACATTGTTGCCTAAATCCAGTTATGACGGGAAGCTGAGGTATCTAAGACCTCAGACTTAGAACCAATAGCCTGAGGTGGCAGGAAATCAGTATACCAGACTTGTAAAGAGAGATCTAAAGTCAGTTTTAGATGGTGGACATCTTTACCTTCTTTAGCTACTTTGCCTGAGAGCGCTTTCCTCCTGTGACCGCTGATGACAGAAAACGGTGCTTCCTTCCTACACCTTCCAGTACCTTGTTTACTACCAAGAAAGTTGTTCCTTTCTACCTTCTTTTTGCCCAAGGATTTGGAAATAATAATTTTCTTTTAGAATTAAACTAAAATATTATTATATTACTATGTCATAGATCACAGTAAAAATACATATTACCTTATAGCAATTTAGGGCTCATTACTTAATAATAAAAAAAGTAATAACAAAGGAATTTAAGTGATAACATAAAGAGGAATATTAACTGTGTAGATTAGACATTCCAGAGGTTGGATAGCATATTCTTCTTCTAATGTTGAACAAATTATGCCAACATTTAGCAGATTAAGTCAATAAGCTTTTTTTCCCCCATGGTTTCTGTGGTTCAGGGATTATGGAATGACTTTCCTGGGTGATCTTAGCTTGATTTCTGATGAAATGGCAGTCAAGATGTTAGCTAGGGCTTCCTTCATTTCAATACTTGCCTAAGCTTGGAGAATCCCCTTCCAGGATAACTCACTCATGCCATGGTTGGGAAAAGGCGCCAGCTCCTTCCTGGCTCTGAGCAGGAGGCCCCAGTTCCGTACTGTGTGGCCCTTACAGGGCACTTTGGGTGTCCCCTTGGCATGGCAGCTGTCTTCCCCAAGAAACATGGAGAGGATGGGAGAGAGGGAAGAAGGAAGGGAGGGAGAGAAAGAATGAGAGCGAGAACAAGAAAGAGGCTGCAGTGTCCTCTCTGGCCTAGTCTTGGAAGTTACTGTTACTCTGCCACACTAACTGTTACAGGTTCTAGGTTCAGTTAAAGTGAAAGAAGTTAATTTTAGATTTTAAAGGAAGATGTATCTGACACTTAGTGGACAGATTTTAAATCTTCCACAGTTTGTCTTCATATATTTGTCTTAATCAAATATGATTTGATTAAGCATATCAGTCATGTTACGTTAGAGCAATTCCTGCCTTTGGGTTCTGCCTTTGCAGGATGAGCAAAGTCATCCAAGCTTGGTTCTCTATGTAGTAAATCACCCTAGCCTTAGTATCTCACATTACACTTTCCAGAAAGAGAATGTGCTTGTAGTTTTCTGAGTGGAGTAAGACATCATCTTTTGCAAAGGTTACTAGCACACCATGTTTCATTTTTCATTTGTTTGAGCTTGTTCACATGCTTTTTTATAAATCAGGTCGGTGGGAATGAGGCATTTTGATCACTGCCTTTGGGATGGGTTATCTGCACCAATCAGTACAGCAGAGGTTTTGGGAGTCTCCTTATTCTTTTGGAAACTCTGGGGTTGACCCTGAACTGGGGTGGAGTAATCTCTCTCTCCCGCTTCCATTCTCCTACCCAAACTGCATGGCTGCTCTGCTGGGGGAAAGAACTGAATGGATATTAGTTGGGCAAAAAAATTAAAAATCTGTCTCATGCCATAAAAAGATCAGATTTTGGGCTAGTAAGAATAGACTGAATAACTAAAAGAAATAGTATATTTCACATTTTCTTTTTTAGTTTTCTAAGGGCAGGCATAAACAAAAGTTAAGAGATATAGGGAGTGGCGATTAACCTATTATCAAGGCCAAATTAAAAAGACCATCCCTACTGGGGAAGTGGATATAGAAAGCCTTATCCAGAAGATTTTTAACATTCCAATGGGAGAAGCTTCTACAAGGGAATAGCTTGAGGCCGATAAAATTCAATTAATATAAATCCTGTTCTGAGGCCAAGCACCTACCAAATGACTCTTTGGCTCAGAGAATGGAGATTAAGAATTTACTAGTCTGTATTACCTTCATATTTTTCATCATGCCTTAGCAAATTAGAATTCTGCTTTACATGTTAGGTTTATGAACTAAACTAGTTAACACAAGTCTACAGGATTTTACATTCACTTGGTGTACTGTCAAAATCTGAGCCTAAAAGGCAAACTGGCTTCAGATAAATTTGGCTACAGAATATCACGATTATTACCAATGTTTCTGTGACAGTTAAATATTAACCTTTAAATAAATCTCAGTATCTGCACTGACCATACTTTACTCATTTTTTTATTTTTTAATTTGACTTGTGTCAGATCTTAGTTGCCTCACAGGGTGCTCTAGTTGTGGCAGGAG